TCCCACAGCAAACCGAAAAGCTAAGTGAAGACCTGAGACTCGAGCTCGAATAAGAGCCTTTCGGCCCTGCAGACCGCGAGCGACCTCAAGAGATATTTTGCCTAGGATCTGTCAGCGACAGGTAGCTAGTTGCTACGCCGGAAGTCTGTGTTTCTCCAAAATCTGACGAGCTGTGGGCATTTTCAGTGGCCCTGGCTGCAGTACCGGTCTCGGTTTCGGCTTTTTGGACAAAGTCCAGGATCAGGGATGCCGTTGGCATAGCTCTGTGGACGGGGCCGGGACACATCACGACTTCTGGCGCACCTGGTAGACGTGAGGCCATGCTGAAGCCAAATTCCGGCGGGTCTCTTGTTGCTTTTCCGGTAGGCCATGACAACTTTCGTTCAGTTCCAGTCTGCCCTAAATGAGGCTTTCACAGTCACCAAGCCCAATCCGCACCGCTCTCGACAGCACAAGATGGCTCAAGTGTAGGCTGTGCCCCAAATCTACCCAACGTCCCAAAGCTCTCCTCGCCACGCGACCTGAAGAAGTTTCGGAGATTGAAACCATAAAGACAGGGCCTTCGAAGGTTTGAAGCTGCTGGTCTTCGGAGATTTGCCTCTCCACGTGTATCTGCATGCAGGGGGAACTCCAACTGGCTTTTTTCAGGAGTGAAGCGCCCTTGTGCACAGTGCGTAAATCCTGCTATCGTCGAAGACTGGAAGCGACAAGGCTATTTTGAGTCTTACATATACAAATTCCCCAAAGGCTTGGAAGCCCCAAACCCCGTGCCCAAACCCTTTGCCCCAAAAGCCTTCAAGACCCAAAAGCCGTAACCGGAAACCCGAAACCCCGAGCCCGATAGGCTCTGAACAGCTTTCGCCCTGGGACCCCCGCAAAAAGACCCAGGCTATGGCTCCCAAGACCGCACCGAAAGCAAAGGCCGCTGCCGCCAAGGCAAGAATTTGTTGTAAGATCCGCATTTGAGGGTTTAGGGGTTTCGGGTTTGGGGTTTTAGCGTCCCTCAGTTTTCTCTCCTTTCAGGGGTACCCGGCAGTTGCAATAGGCCTGGATGCAAAAGCGTCGGGGTTGTATTTTGACGGCTTGCAGGTCAGGGTTTCGACTTTCACACTCGCGCAAGGCAGGCAGGTCGGGATTTAGGATTAGCGGTGTTAGTAAAGCTCATGTGTCAAGGAGGCATGGGTGCACACGGCAGTGTGTGTTATAGTTGTGGAGGATTCTAGTATGCTGGCATTCTGGCAGTCTTACTGCTACTACTCCTCAGCAGGTGTAGTCGTGAATCTGGTGTTCATGAGTACTCGCATTTATGTTTGTTTGAGGGGTAGCTTAGGTACTCGTAGTGGTGGTCTTGGTCGTATATGAATCAGCGGTCGTCATGGTAGCCTGGCGGTTGCAACAGCAGCACAGCAACACGGTGATCATGGGCACGAGTAGTGACAGTAGTGAGGCATCTTCCGTTTCCGTGAAGGGGGTTTGTGGGTAATGGAGGGGCCTAAACAATTACCGATATGATTTTTAGGGGGGTCCTTCTTAGAACTACAGTATAATAGTTACTCTAGTTGCCACGTCGTATGGGCACTCCGGCCCCAAGCACCCGCTCCTGATATCCCTCGACCTTGTTGTTCTCCGAGTTGGCCTTTGAACTTTGATTAGGCCGAAGTTTGAACTCTGTGCAAATCCTCCATGAAACCCGACTGAGGGTGTGGTGTCCCCATGGCATCATGGCAGGCAGACCCGAAGCCGAAGGCAGAAGGTAAGGCCAAGGCCAAGGTGAAGAAAGAGGACGGGAAGCGCTTCAGAGTAGGGACATGTACGGGCGGACGGAGGGAGGTAGAAGAAGACAGGGAATTGGTGGACCTTCAAAAGTCGCATCAGGCAGGGCACGCTTCAAAATCGCGAAGGCCTGGTATGTTTCCTAACCAACCCGTACTACGAAGTCAAAGAAGGTACTTCGAAGAAGGTACCTCTCGCCCAAAACCCTCAACCACCTACCGCTGGTGCCTGGTGCATTCAGGAGCAGGAGGATGACAAGCCCAAGGTTCCTCAGCCCAACAAGGCGTACAAAGGGATGGGAAGAGGGGGGAGGTGGATGCTGCGGTTCAGGTGGATTAGGCCACCAGATGGTTTTAGTCTGCTGACAGGAAGAGTTCGACGCCAAGTCCGAGAAGATCCAGGAGGAAATCCAGAAGCTGCAGGACATGGCTGACACCTCGCAGTGTAGGGTTTGGTGTTGTAGCATTGAGACATGCTCCTCCGAGACCTAGATGCATCAGGGGTTGGGATTTGGGGTTGAGACATCTTGTTTTTTCTTGACCTTCCATGGGCTACAATTCCATGCCTGAAAATAGTAAGCAACTCCATGTTCCCGGATCGATGCCGCGAGGACAAGCAGAAGAAGCTCACCGAGAAGATCCAGGACAGTTTAATGGCGTGTATTGACCGAAGTAAAAGCCTTGGTCTGTGAGTTCTCTCGGCCGTCTTACCCGCTTCACCCCTAAATTTACTGGCTGTTGTTGTTGCTGCGAGTTCTAGTGCATGTGCTAGAGAGATGGCGTCCCTTGTTCCATATTCCTTCCAGGCTCCTCGTCAGACAGCAATATCATAGTAGAGCGGTATTTCCTGGCTCGAAGCTTTCGGAGCTTCTCGTCTTTGGGTGTCGCTGTTTTCAGGGCTTCTGCTTGCAGGATGAATGAGTCTTCGATGTACAAAACTTCGACATGTGCTGGCTGTGCCTCACGTCTTTCAAGCACAATTACAAACCCTGCATTATCTCCATCACAGGAGCGCTCTGGCGGAAAGGAGGAGTTCTACGCCAAGAAGGTTTGGTATTGTTAGTATTAGCTGTTAGTGCCATCGGCATTTCTACAATATACCGTTGCTGTTGTTTTCTGGGCCCTGGTATTTTTTTTATGTTTACCTTTAATCTGGTCGTCGCTGCATGTGTTCACGGTTCTCGCCGGCCAGAAGTTGTCATCTACCGTTATCATCGCTGGACTTGCGAGGGGGTTCGCGCTTCTGGCGCTTGCCAGGCCGAGTTGCGCGCTCAGCTGGATGTTATCACGGACAAGATCAACGGCCTGATGGAGAAGAAGGACCCCCACTGTTTTCGGAAGTTTGTCGTTTGCCGATGAAGCTTGCAGCTTGTTGTGTTTGTTTATGAGGAGCCTGCAGCCCTCTTGTTTGCCCCTGCCTCCGTAGGACGAGATCAACAAGGCCGTGGGCAACAAGCGAGAGGAAGGTCGCGAGATGCGCTCCCAGCTGCAGCCCGGCTGATGAAGAAATCATATTTCTGATATTCAGGGGTTGAGGCAGGCAGAGTGATTGTAGGGTTTATAGAGATCCTATATGGGCAGAGCACAGCGCTGAAGGTGAGTTTCGAGTGTGTGCAGGAATCCCCTGAGACAACGTGGCCTTGTCCTTAAAAAACCAGCGAGCGCACTGAGCCCCTGTGAAGGAACAGCATGAAGAAGACTGTCGGCTTCACCAGCCAGCAGGAGAGCAGCCCAGCCGTGCTTGCGACGCGGTTAGAGGCTGATCGTCACTCGTTGTTTGTCCGTGGTGGCGACGAAGCCCGCATCTAGGGGTCTGTGAGGAGATCAACAACCGCATTGCCACGATCGAATTCCAACTGTGCACCGAGTCCGTGCCACTGAAGGAGGCAAGGTGTTTTTTGTATTTGTGTATCGTCCGGGGGAGGGAGGGGGCGGGGGGTCCACCAGGTTAGCACCCTTTTCAGATTCCATTGGGTGTTTATACGCCTTTCCCGGCTCTCGAACCCCAAAACACCGTTTCGCACAGAACTCGCACAGCATCTCGAGATGCTGGTTCGGTCCTTGTCGACATTCTGGCACAGGGTCAGCTAACCTCACTCATGCTAGGAGTCACAAAGGCCACCATCAACATATTGAGCCTTCTGCAACACCGACATGCAACGTCATCCTGTCTGCAGTAAAGGTGAACAGCACATGGTGGAACTGCGACAATCCCGGCAGGAGAAGAAGCTCTTGGCTGAGATCCAGACCCTGCAGCTGGGACCAGTACTTTACTTGTAGCAGCTAGAGTTTAGAGTCCAGAGTTACAGGAGATGAAAGATTATCCTGAGCAAAGTGAGGGTAAGAAGGATGGTGATTTGCAATGCAGTGCTGGTGCTGGACGCGACAGCAAGCTCGTGGTGATGGTTGCAGGGGTGGTGGTTCCAGTTGTGGTGGCTGCTGTTATTGCTGTGCAAGTATTGTAGAGCCACTAACTTGGCGGCCTGCACGTCGCGGGCAGCATTTTACTTGGTTGGTGGTGGGTTGCTGGGTACTCAGTATGGCTTTGCCAGATCCGGCTACACTGGGTACCAAAGCAAAAGGATAGCACACTGTGGTGTTGTGCATTGTTATTGCTGCTGCTGCTGCTGCTCATGGTGGGATCGTGGCGAATGACACTGTAGCACAGAGGCAAGTACAAATACCTGGCAATAGCTTCCGCACTAGCGGTGTTGCCACGTCGTATAATTTGTGCGAGTGAAATTGTGATTGTGTTGGTAGGGGCAATGAAGGTGAAGGTTTCGGGACTTCCAGCACTGCCAAAACAATTATCGCATCGGTGTTCGAATCAACACATCTGCATCCCGATCTACCCGAACAGTGCGCAACCCAGTTTCCAAAGTCCTTAGATACTACATATACTATATATATATATACACTATATATACTAGATATAAAAAATACAGACTCTCTCTCTCTGTGTATGTATATATATATATATATATAGATTACATATACTACATATATTATACCCTTCGGTTCCGGGCTCGGTTTTCAGCCTTTCTTCAGGAAGAAGAACCGCTCCAAGGCTCGCGCTTCCTCGGGGCCTTGCCAGGATTCCAGGGTTCAGCTCCGAGAGCACCCATATAGAACCATAGAGTACCCGTTACAGGGGGACCCAAGTGTGCATATGTATATGTATATATATATATATATCTCTCTCTCTCTCTCTCTCTGTGTGTATATATATATATATAGAACCCTGTAGTACCCTAAGCCCTAAACATCCTTAAACCCCATAGTAGGGACTTTCCTTATCTCCGTTGCGTGGCCAGAGTACGGCCCGCTGGGCCTTCCGCATGCTTTCGCCCGGCATTAAGCATCCAGGCCTCTTGGGGTGACGTCGGGTTTAGGGTTTAGGGTTTAGGGTTTAGGGTGGAGTTTGTCCTTTCTGAGATTGCAGAGGCTTCAGAGGAAATCGACTGAGTCGTCTCAGCTCTTGGGTCAGAAAAAAACCGTAACTAAGATTATCTTCTTTTTGCGAGACTTGTATAGATTCCAAGACTTAGGGGTACTTAGAAATAATTTTTAATCTTTGGCTACTATAAACCCTAAGAAGCAGCAAAAATTATAATTTTTGCTAGGGGTCTAAGTTCAGTATAGAAGAGGTGTAGCATAGGACAAGGCCTTGCTCCAATGGTAACCTGGCCCGAGCAGACGGCATAAGACCCCATCAGATGCTTATTATGGTTTCGTGTAGACCGCATCGAGATGATTGACGGAAACCCACGGCAAGCAAAAGTCTGCAGGTAACACCATCCCAGCTAAGCCCCACTTAGACTTCAGACCAAAACCTAAACCCACCGGCCACCGACCTCCAAGCTCAGAGCCAGCGGCGAAAGCAGAAATTGGAGGTGGACACCATGAACACCATGGAGCAAAACCTGGCGAATTTCGACCCCGGAATGTCCATGAAGGTGCCTGGCATTACAGAAGTCTTCAGGGCTGTTGATGGTATAATGAGCAAGTCTGCTCAGGAGCAGAAGGACGCCATTAACGCCGACATCGCGCAGTTCCGTGACGAGAAGAAGAAGATTCAGGCCCTCTGTGGCACTGTGGGGCCCACCACCAGCTTTGGTGTGGGGCCTTCATGGTTGTGGGACCTACCACCAGGTTTGGTGTGGGGCTTGGTCCTTCAAGGTTGCTCGTGATACTAGTTCCTTGGCGCAAGGGAAAGCCCGTTTTGACTATACCACTGCCAGCTCTGACCATCAGTGCTCAGTTGCAGTAGCAGAAGGCTTGTCGGAGAAGTCGTAGATCCGCCGATGGACGTGGACAGGGGTCTTGTCACGACAGGACCAGATGACCGAGCTGTCTGAGGCCAGGAAGACCCAACTGGGACCTATCGAGGACTCATTCGGCGGCTCCATGAGGCTTAGGATTAAAGACGAGTTTGCCATCAGAAGCTAAAAACTTGTGAGGTGATGGCCATGCCAGTAGATCTTGCTCCAGGCCTTGGTATCTATTTTTGGTAGCCGCTCTTTGCCAGGAGATTCAGAACGAGCGCAATGCTATCGGCGAGAAGTTGAGGGCAAAGATCGAGGACGTTTTGAGGTTGAGGGCATCGCCGTAGTCTGTTTTTCAGGACATCAAATATAGATTTAATCCTCCCGTCTTCCTGTGTATAAAACTTGAGAAGTTAACTTGCTCAAGTTTCTTCACCCACAGAGGCATGCCAGAATGCAGTGCTGCAGCGAGATGCTTCGTGGTTAGGGAATGTGAAGATCGAAGCCTCAGCTTCGAGAAAGTGGAGGGGGTGCAGGAAAGCGAAGAATCCGGCTTCAGGTTGTCAGAAGGTTCAAGGCAGAAGTCATAAACCCTCCTGGTGCAAACTACTGTAGCGATGCAGGCGCCCAGAGAAGTGAATCGAAGTGCCAAGCCACAGCTTGCAGGAGCGTAATGCGCTGCGTGACGAGTACCGCCAGCAGGCCAGTGCGCAACTATACTTGACTGCGTGTCTTTAGCCAACATGCACAACCTGGACCTCTAGATACAGGCTCTACAGGCGTAGATGCAGTAATTCTGGTCTTCACTATCATGCGATCAGAGAAGGAGATCCGACTCCCCAAGCCCGATCGACGAGACTGGCCATAGCTCCTTTTCCTGTTGCAAGACTTCCGTGCAATTGTGGTCACTACTTCCTTGATGGGCGCAGTACTATCAACTAGCAGTGTTGTTAGGAGCAATGTGCCATCTAGTTCAGGGAGGCCGTGCCGCGATCCACACTTCGATCGACCCCCGTAGTGCCCTGTAGTTTCGCAGTGTAGCAGAACTTCTTGCATCATGTGTCCGTGGGAAGCGTGTGGAGCTCAAAGTGCGATTGAAGACAACTCTAGAGCCATAATCTGCAGCCGATGATGCTCCCCGGTGAGCCCTGATCTAAGAAATCGACGCCGCCTGGCAGGAGCGTGAGTACTGGGCCTACCAGCAGGAACTCCGCAAAGCTCGCCAGGACCTGTCGGGTCAGCGGCTGTTGTTCTGGCTCATAAGGCTTGTATGTTTCCACAAGGGAGAGTAGGAAAGACCATTCGGTCTGCAATGATCGCAGCCGAACTGAAGACATGTGATCGTCCTGCGGCACATTCTGTCTGCTCTCTTACTAGACAGGTCGTGTTCGAGCACTGCTGACAAGGATGCCAGAACAGCAAACGAAATCATCGTCAAGGCGATGCCAGATACTCGTAGTTGACTGCTACTCAATCATAAGCAAAATCAGCAGAGTTGCGGTTGCTGTCTGCAAGCCAAAACTTCTCTGCGAAGTTCGTCTCTGGAACCCTGAGCCCGTGCAGCATTTCCAGGAGCGCTATGCTGCTGAGAAAGCCGAGAAGCAGAAGGCCCAGCAGCTTTCCAGGGTTTTTGGGCAGTGTCGTCTTATCCCACAGATCAAAGGACATCCTGAAGCGAGGTGGCCAAAAATAAAATGGCAGTAATCATGCCCGCAAGAGAACCCTTGTGAGGGGAGGCTCCGACCCCTGCCATTCACGGCCCTGCGCACCTCAAGCCCACACTAAGCCAAATCCCTGAACGACGGAATTGTGTGGAGCCTTGCCTGCCTTATGCGAGAGTGAGAGTCGAACCCCAGAATCCAGTACTGAATTTAAGTACTGTTCTCTTGCATCCCTATCGGATCGTCGAGGAGTACGACCTGCGCCGCAAGCAACGCGAAGCCGAGAAGCTCGATGAGCAGCAGCTCTGTCTGATATTCGGTGCTGGTAGAGCGACCTTTTATATGGTTCGGTTCAGAGGGTCAAAACTTGAAGGGCAGCTGTTGCCGGCGGTGTCGTGTTTGCTGCAGCGTCAGTTAGTTTAGTGGTGATCGTGTCGTCGCAGTCGTTGTTGTGACTACGGATCCCGCTGCCTTTGTCTTTGTTGTTGCTGTTGCTGTTGCCGCTGCTGTTGCTGTTGCCGCTGCTGTTGCTGTTGCTGTTGCTGTTGCTGTTGCTGTTGCCGCAGCTGTTGCTGTTGCTGTTGCTGCTGCTGTTGCTGTTGCTGTTGCTGTTGCCACTGCTGTTTCTGTTGCTGTTGCTGTTGCTGTTGCCGCTGCTGTTGCTGTTGCCGCTGCTGTTGTTGTGGTTGCTGCTGCTATTGCCGCTGCTGTTGTTGTGGTTGCTGCTGCTGTTGTAGTTGTTGTTGTGGTTACTGGTGCTGGTACTAGTTACTAGTCATGAGCCCGGATTCCTGTCGCTGCTGCCGCTGCGCGTGCCGTCACTGGTTGTCGCAGCCCTGCGGCCGTTGCGACGGCAAATGGTTTTGCAGTGTTTCTGTTTGAGGTTTTGGTGAAGTACTGACATGTGTTTGCTACTGTTATAGTCCTGTGCTGCTCTCGCCGCGTCTCATATATTGCATTATGAAAACTCTGCGTGGTTAACAACCAAGCCTCATGTCAACCATGATGGAATTGGTTTCTTGCCTTATTTGAGCTGCCTCTGCTCTCGCCAGTTCAGAAAAGAGTTTCTGAGGACACTTTATTAGACATCACCCTTCCTGGTTACATCGATGAGGTCATTCTGAGTCTGCTGGTAACTCTTTTGTTGTTGCTGAAGTCAATGTTCATAAGACCCAACACACTCCCCTGCGACCCGACAGGCCGTATGTCGCGGAGATTACCTTGATCGAGCAGTCGCTCTGCCGTTGTTGGATTGGCCCTGGATTTCTGGGAATATCGGAAATACCGGGCCCCTAAGACCAGATAGACGCGAAGCTAGAAGAGCATACAAGTAAGGCATCCTTACTTCAGAAAGTTTCGATCTCACGACACGACTTCAGAGCACGGGAGACCTGGGCCGGGATGGATCTGAGGCCGAGGCGCGGGAAAGTCTGGCTGTCTGGGCCCTTATATAAGCCGATAAAGCTTAATCAATAAAGCGTTAAGCTTTGAAAACTCCGCTGCAACACGGCCTCGTCCTTGCCATGCAAAATCTAAAGAATCCCAATTATTATGTCCATACAGTTCAGGACTTAGGTCCTGAACTAGAAATCTCGACGTACTTGCACATGCACAGTACCAGACCTGCAGCTGCCGCCGGTTGCACTGTGCTGCTGTGGGTAGCCTGTGGCCAGCTGAGAACCCAACAATGAAATCCGTCAGGATCTACAACGACGGTGACGCTGACTTTTCTGGAACACAACCTTTTGTAATATACCAGTAGTTGGTATACTTGTGACGAAAACATCATGGAACCGATAAATGTTTCTTCAGCCTATCAGGGGTTCGGGAAGGCGTTCATGCTTCTAAACCCTTGCATGGGTGCTGAGGACGATCAAGTATTGCAAGGGCCTCGTGCAGTCCAAGACCGAGGAGAAGAAGGACGAGAAGAAGGAGGCGATTCATGGCAGCTCACGTGTATTGATTTCAGCCATCACCTTCCATTCCTTGGCCGGTACTGGTACCGGTTAGGATGCCAAGCAGCCGTCCAAGTTACTTGGACTGCTCGAATAGTCAGAGAGAGCAGCGACTCGGATTCCCAATGTCGTACTTTTTGTATTTGACTCCACTGTGCTCCAGCCTTCAGGTCTGACTTAGGAATCCTGTGCTCCAACACTCGATGGGTTTTGCGCTTCTAGATCAAGCCTTACTGCGGCAACTACATATTCCAATTTTCGCTTTGGCTAAGTCCATCTTCCAGCTTTAGGTTTCGGCTGGACCATGCTTTCTTAAACCCTGTCCAAAACAATCAATCCGCAAGCCCGAATCTTCTATGGGGTGCTGGATTTTTGGATGCGCGTCTTCCAAGTTTGCGCAGCAGCTGTACTTGGGGCGAGGGGAGCCCACGGCATGTGGGGAGGTTGAGTACAACAACCCGGACGGTGCCGAGATCCTCCTCCGCAAGGCCTGGTGAGGCTTCTTTTGTAGTTCTGCCCATGCAGCACTCGAAGCCGTCTCGAACTTTTCACGAATAAAACCCAAACCCGATATTCAGGCTGTATTGCGTTGAGACAATCTCGAGGTAGGCAGTCGTTTACCTCTTTTGGGCATTTTTGGGCATTGCAAACCCTCTTGCAGTCAAGAGTCTGTTCCTGCATGAGCTTCAGAGACACGCTTGCAGAGATGCGGCCATCTAGTATTGAAGCTCTGCCATAATTCGTCACAAAACAAACAATATGTCGCCGACATGAGCACTGTCTCTGCTTTATGCAGGGTGCACATGCCAGGAAGATCGAGACGAGGAGTTTTACTTCGCCCCTACGAAGGCTGGCAAGAAGGGCAAGAACAAGAACAAAGGCCGGGGAGTTCTTCTAGGCATCCAGCGAGTCAGGAACGTTTGAAATCTTTGCTTCGATCGGTTTCGACAGTCTAGAGCTTCGCCCGTTCGATATTCCAGGCGGCGAGGCGAAGCCCACGAAGATCACGCACAATGCGGAAACCTTCCGCACCGCTCCTGCACAATCAGTTCTGTCGTGGTGCCAGCATCGGGTCAATTGTGGTGAACCGGTTTCTTAGACCCTTAAGTCTTAAACCTCGCCTGGTATTCCCGGGTGAGAGTGTCAACACTGACACATACAGAAGTCCGAGATGGGCTGCCAAGGCACTGCCGGTCACAAAGCCAGGCAATGGTGTTCTCTCGTAATCGTAATTTCAACATTTTGCCCCGAGGTTGCGGGACTGCATGAGTGCTTCGTATGCTATGCATATACTTGCAAACTCAACTACCAGTATGCTTTCAGCAGGCAGTAAGTGACATACAGGCATCATCATATACTGCGGTTTTGCCAGAAGATCAATGTTTATTTACATTTATTATCTCCTAGCCTTATGCCTTACGCCCGCCGATGTTTCACACTTCTGCATACCTGTGCCTTGGCTGGCGAGCTTCTGAGGTCTTTTCGACCAGCTGAAGCTCGATGCACCGCTATCCACGGAACAGGCCTTTGTTTTCATCTCCTGCTCCCTGCGTCTCTCTCTCTCTCTCTCGCTTGCCACTTTGTCCTACAGTTTCCTCCAGGGCAATGGTCTTGCAAGTGCTCACTCGTAGTTGAGATGAAGCCCGAGACGCGGTTTCCCTGCCAACTGCCAGTGCATTCAGGGTTCGAGCACTGGGTTACCTTGAGTTCGCGGTGTGTCAGGTGCCTGCCCTTCTGGAAGAGCTTGAGAAGCACCTTGGCCAAGCTTCGCGTTTCGGAGTGGAAACCTTTACAGGGCTTGGGCCCTAGGATTCGCTTCGTAGAGTTTGGGATTCCGAACACCGCAGTGCTTTCGTATCCTGCTCTTACGCTTCGGTTGTTGGGTTGGCATCCGCTGGGTCAACAGGCGTTGCGTGGTTCTGTTCAGGCCATGCGTTGAACCTGCAGCTCAGGCAGCTGGGAGACTTCCAGGGGAAGGTGAAGGAGTGGGAGGAGAAGCGCGAGGAGCCCTCCTAGCGGCCCTAGCGCAAGAAGCTGACGAAGAAAGACACCTGCTGAATGGAAGCCGCTGCAGGATATGAAGAAAGCCATCCTGGAGGGCCTTAACGAGATCGCGGAGAACAAGGCCACTGAGGAGTTAGTTAGTGGAGGGAGTCGACGTGAAGGGTTTTATTTTGACGGGGGAGGGGGGGGGAGGGGCCTCTAATGTGTGTGTGTGTATATAATGTTGACTTCGCTTTAATACCCCCCCCCTATAGATTTCGGCCCCAATCAGGGGGGGATTGA